TCTTTATAATGAAATAAAATCAATAATGAAATTACCAAATGAAAAAAACTATAGTGAGTTTTAATTGTATTTTTGAAGAAAAACTAACGATGTTTTTGATTTTGCGGCTGCGGTGGCGTGTCTAGTTTACCCAATTGAAGATGGTATTTCATGCGACCAATCACCAACTGGTGGGGGAAATTAGGGCTCCCCGTTCTTAAGCGTCAATCTCAATGTGAATAGCAAGTGATCATAATAGTGCTTAAGCACAATTATATTTACAAAACTTTTTGTTAAAAATTTGAATACGCAATTTATGATGTAATTGAAATCTTCACAAGCATCAATTTCGTACTGGTGCTCATTTATTACGATCAATCAAAATAATCATTGAAGTAAATATTTGTGCGGTCCCCTATTGTTTCCTATTATTTGTCAAAAAATAAAAAATAAATAAAAAACAAATAGTAAAAAAATAAAAATAAAAATAAAAAATAAAAGCGTCTATCCAAAAGAAAGTAACAGATGTTACTGATTATCAAAGTTCTAGTGAAGTATCAACTTAGGTAGTTTCTAGTACTCCATTCGCTGATTTTACCAACTATAATGACGAAATAGTAGAATTTGTTGCCATTTGAGCGAAAGCCAAGAGATGGTAAGTATTTGATATTATTTCTTGGGCTTCTCAATTTTTTTTTATAAAAACTTTTGTGATCTCTTTGAATACTCTATTGATCGTAAAATTTTCAAAGGCAAGTATAAAAAAAAGGTGGTCTGTTATAAAAAGTTTGTTGATTAAAATGAAAAATTCATTTAATGTCTTTTACTAATATGCTTTTTATGTAATAAACTTTATTAATTTACGCATTTTCATCGTAATGATAAACACGCTTAATTAATTTTAAATATTCCCAGACACTTTTTGACTCATTGATTGAGGCGTTTGAGAGCGACCTTATTATCATACTTTTAAAGCCAAATATTTTCTTATATGCGTATTATTGACGAGTTGTCATCATTCTGGTCTGTAAAAATTTTGAACTTATAAATATTTTTTTGAATTCAACCCGATAATATTAGAAGCTAAAGGTTATGAAAAAAATGAGGGAAAAGTACTTTTTTGAAAATAATAAAAACACTTGATTCGATTAGAATAACGTTAAAAATGATGTTTTCGTTCTATTTAAATTTATAATTTTATTATTGTTATTATTAAAAATTTTTTAATTAGCGCAAATTACTTGGCTGATTAATGCGCCACCAACCTGGCACACATTCAAGAATTGATTGCACTATCTCGTTTTGCAAAATAATAGAGAAAAACAACATAACACCTTTTTCTTAATTCCATCGAATCATTTTCATTTGGCAAATTGTCTTCTTCGTCGATCTTGTAGAAACTACATGCTCGTTTAGTTAAAGGTTGTTCTTCATTTTCTTTGTCAGCTATATTTCGTTTTTGCCCCGGGCGTTTGATGCGTTTCGTGAGATATGAAATCGATTCTGGAATGTCGAAAATATTAAGGGCTGATGAGAACTTTGCTTTAAATAGAAAAGTACAAATAGAAGATGAACAAAACTTACCCTCTGACCAAAGTAGCTTTTTTTGGCACAAAATTAACGAGGATTATTTGGAACAAGGACTTGAAGCTGATAAAGTATAAAGTATAGTGACTTGGCCTATGCTCATTCTCAAAGCATCATATGAAACAGAAATTAAAGAAGAATTTAAGCTCAATTGAAGACGTGAGCTCAATTTTATAAATGATTTAAATAAACTAAAAAAAAATAATCGGTATACGAAAAAAAAAGGAATAACAAAAAATAAGCAATTGTATTTAGTTATAAGAATCCAAATTATTTAAAAGCTAATGGTTTAGAGTAAAATACCTTCTAGTCCAGTTCTTCGAATTTTGATTTTTTTTCAGTATCACTAACCTCAACAATCATGGTAGGAGTAAAAGGCTGTCCTTAAAACTCCAGCGTTGTAAATGAGTCAATTTACGTGACTAGTTATTAACTATAAAAAATAGTTAGTACATGAGAAATAAATAAATACAAGTAAACAAAAATAAGAATCCAAAGTTACCCTGTTATACTTGTAATGTGATTTTTTAATAACTAGCATTCTGTTTAACGGTCTTTATACTTTAAACAAATGGTAAACCGCAATAATATCTCATTCGTTGTACTTTACGGATTTTTTTCCTCGAGAACTGAATCTAGCCATCTATGCTGTTGATCATATAGAGACCTTTAAGTATCTACATCCACTCTTAAAGACAAATTGAAAAAGACGCGTATTTATTCCAATTTAATTTACAGGTGATAATCTATGGTAGTGATATAAGCTGGCTATGGCAGCTGTGGCTAAGCTGGCTTAGCCAGCTTAGCCAGCCAAATGTAATATGATCGGCTGGCTAATGCGGCTAAAGATGATATGATTTAGTATATCGATATGGTAGGATTTCGGTAAATTCTGAAAAGGAAAATAAAATACAAGCTAAATTTACTAAAATTTTTCGGAAGTATGCTATTTAGTAGTGTTCCGCAGACTCGAACCGAAACCCGGACTCGAACCGGAATCGACTCAGCGGTTCGAGTTCGGGTTTACAATTTTTCAGAACCGACCGATTCGGGTGGGTACCCGGTAGGACCCGCATAGACTCGCATGTTTAATCACCTGCCTTCAACGAATATAAAATGTTAGTGTTAGAG